ATGCTACTCAACTCAACGCAAATATTCATTACCTGTAATACTATTATTGTTATTGGGTTTCTATTATTYACTGCTATTGTTTTGCGTATTTGCGTGTAGAATTTGGTATTGTAATTTGTAAATGCCTGAAAATGGTGTAATTATTATAATTATTGTTACGGGTCTTATGGTAATTTTCCATTATATCCCACTTYCAAATACATTCAAAAGTTRTTATTATATTATGTTTTTAAGTATTCGTTTCTTGTTTATCTTCTTAGGCGATCCGAAAGACATTTCTTATTCCTTTTTAAACAGGACACACTATAATAATAWGTATTATAGTCTAATAAGTTTTTACAATAACGCATAGTACGCTATACCTATACTGCCAATGCTAGGAATATCCAAATATATATATATATATATGTTATACTACCAATTGAGTACTAATTAACAGCAATTTATGAATAATTGTTTTGTATGTCATAATAAAATATGTGCATTCACTCGGGATTATATTTTTAATTTTAATTACAATTTACAATGGAAAACTTTTATTTATTTTTTGTTTTAAGTTAGAAGTATTAAACGATTAGATGGGTTACTCTTTGGGTACTTTTTTATCCTTAAATGTGTAGGTACACTATGACTTATGAGACAATATACGCCACAAAATCAATCCCAATTATTATAAAGTACGGTTTGTCGATGTTCAAATAATGAGTATACAAAAGCGTTTCAAAAAGTTCAAAAAAATTTAGCGTAGGTAATTTACTCTGCCAGCATAATACATTTTTAACAGATCATAAATGAATAAAACGGATAAATAAACTCTTCTAATAATACATTTAAAAAAAKCGTSGTGATCGTTTTGTAATAAAAATATTTACCTTCGAGTTTTTAAAAGTTATGTCTGATAAAAAACAAACCTTGGCCTGCTATTTTATATCTTCCTCGGTCGTGCAGTGAAATGATTAGTATARTTTATTCTAGAAGGACTGATATTTTTCCATCTGCCGAAATGCGTATTAATAAACAACGCCCAATCAGCTAGCGCCGTCGCGCGAGTAAAAGCTGCTCACTACTCACATCCCCTCCATTTTGGACACTTTTTAAATGCTATAAAGTGCAGTCACAGTCGCACCATATAATACAATATATATGTGTAATATTCCCATTCTTATAACATTATAATGTACTCTTTCTGTATTTCTAAAAATATTGAAATAACAACAATGGTATTCAACGAGTACCTATACATATTACATATAGATAGGTATATCTATATACCTATATATACATACATTAAAATTTTTATCAAGTAGTACACTGAATAGTTTCACAGMTTTTTATCGTTCAATGGGTTTTTTAAGTGGGTAATACACCTATATAGGTATGCAATAATATTATAAATACCAGAAAGGTATTCAAATTGTGCGTCGCGACTCCCAGGGCCGTTTTATATATTATGTCATGTTATACGATAAACAAATAATTGATAAAATTTATAAAAATTGATTTTTTTGTTATTTATAATTTGGGAGCCGTCAACATTTTGTGAAGACACAAAGAAATCGTGGGATGAAAAAGTTTGAAAACCTCTAAGCTATACATATATAACCAACAATCATGGCACGTTGGGAAATTATAACGATTATAGCGGTACTCGAAAGTATTTTTTTTAATTTCAGTTTTCAATCTTGCATATAGTCGCATTTAGTGAAACAAATTATTTATGTACTTAAAATCGTGTCAATATATAGTTATGAAAGTTTGTTTATTTTTCACATTTTTTGTATCAAGACATAAGAATAATCCTTCGGTTCTTTGATATATTATGAAACTAAATCTGTAGCAAATTGTGTTTTATTCATTTATATAAATCTAATAAACTACACTCTAGATATAAAAAAAGATTTAATGGATTTTTGAAAACCCCATCACCGGATAACCACCAGAAAAAAATGTTTTTTGCCCACGTATACATTTTTTTAAAACATTAATAATGTAAAAAACAAAATGTTTGATCCGAAAAAGATTTGCCGCTGCTATATTAGAAGTATAATTTGTATTTAACTATCAAGTTAGCCAAATTAAAATGCGGACCAGAAATTTTATAGGTATACGAAGTGATCAAGTAAACGTTAAACATTGATATTATTTCATAAAACTTTTTCGAAAATACTTTTTTTTTATACAATTTTAATACGATTAATTATATTTCTGAAAAACAACTTTTTTACTTTTAATACTCAGAGCAGGTAGTTTATTAGTTATAACGTATAGCTTATAACTATTATAAATACGTCTTAAGATCTTGATGATTATAGCAGTGGATCGACATTTTGCGGGGTAAGATCCACTCCATTCCGCTCATAAAAGCTGTAAGTACCTAGATACTGCTATTACCAATATATGTTATAACTTATAACTTAAAACTTATAATAGCTACTTATCCAAAATTTGATTTTTACAAGCCGAAGTACTCCAATGTCTAAATTAATACTAGCTGTTTTGAAATAAAGAATTAAAAATGCATGTTGTAATTTAGTAAGAAAAATAGGAAATGATAACGATAAAAAAATAGTTAGTATTGAATGTGACCATGAAGGTCAGGGGTTTAAGACTATGAATAACAGCAATAAAATTCTCGTAAATTTTCGTAAACAGTAAGATAAAAATTTAATTCTAATATAATTAATAGTCGCCAAAAGACCGCCTATTTGCGTATGATGTGCCTATTCAATAGGCCCTATTGCAATCGTCTTATTACCTACCTCCAAAAAAGTAAATTGTTTTTTGTTCGTTAATATGTGTAATTGAAGACCGTACATGTCTCCTCTTGGAAAAGGGGGGTAGTATCATGCATATAGTGATGTATACATACATAAATCACGKCATGATCTTCCTACTAGGTACCCATTTGTGATAAGCATTGACGAAGACCTAAAGATCGTTTCAATGAACAAATACAAAAAAAAAAACAAAAAMATATGTGTAATTGAAAGAACGTTAATTTAGTATCGAACTATTTTTGACCAAATGTCGGAATTCTAATTCAGCATTAACTAAAATATTAATATACAGTATACATATTTTGCTTCCCATCTTCCTGCTCCCCCTCCCACCCGAAAAAATGTCCTACTACAGCCTTGAGTCCGATACCTATACGGCTATACAYAAAATTAGTTAAATAGTATATTATATACCTCATAGGTACCTCTTCTAAATTCTCAATAATAGGTGTGTTACTTTCATTTTAAAATATGACTGTGGAAATCATCGCGAACTACAACGCTGCCCAGCGGAATACGAGTGAGTTCGTAGACCGTAGTCCATAATAACGTAGGTAACAGCTAAACAGCATAATATTCTGCGTAAGGTGCACCATCTGTGTACGTCGTACGAGTCTTGTCGGATCTAGGTCAATTACTCATCTAGTTGTCAAATATTTATCTGTATTTATCGGCAATCGAATTCATAGAGTATATTGTATTTTTTTTTTTTTAATTTTACGGCAGACGACAGTCGATAACTACAATAATATAATCGAATGACTATTATTTTTTTTATTTAAACATTGTTCGCCACAACCGGATACCATGTTATCAATAAGTGCCTAGCACAGCCAAATAGGCACAGTGTACGACCTAAACTCAACTTCGTATCAGTCGTATCTCGTATAGCAAATGGTAATATAAATATTATAATTTCAATATTCCCGATTTCGTGACACTAAATTTAATGATCTATTAATATTAAATTCGCTATTAAAACATTAGCATTATGCGATATCCTCACACAATAAAATAGTTTCTCAGTAAATCTGTAAAAAAAACGCAGTGGTTTTCAGCCTCAAGAATTTTGTAGGTGTGCCGTGAGCTTTTGACAGACTTCTTATAATTTAAAATGATTATAATAATATTAATTAATATAAATAAATAATAAAGTAAAAATGTGTTTATTTAATTTGGTGAAAAAATTGATGTTTAATAAAACGTTGTTACTTGTTAGTGGCTGACACACATGACGTGACGTGAAGATGTCGTGAAGAGCACTGTGTCTGTGTGTCTTATTTAAAAAAAAAAAAGGTTGAAAACCACTAATCCAGCGGGTAATGTAGCTAAATTTCACTATTCGAAAACAATAATTAATATCCATCAGGTTATTGTTAAATAGGTACCGTCTACATTAGCTAACAACTAACAAATTTTAACGGAAAAATAATTTAGAGATGATTTCATATCTTTATTGTAAAAATTATCAACAACAGAGAAGTTACTATTGTATAAATTGGGTAATATTACACAATATATTGAATAAACTATTATGATTTATGACCATTGATCGTAAAATATTAGAAAACCAACAACTTCGAAACTTTTCCGTTGACAATGTTTTATAACTTTATAAGATAGGTACGTAATTGACGCGGAAATATTGTATTATTTTATATAAATTATTATAATTAAATTAGTTATTGATCTCAAAAACATCCTCCCATACGAAATTGATGATTGATAATTTAGACGATTTTATTGGGCGAATTAAAATTAATTAACAATTATTACGTTTTTGCTTAGTGGAAAATTATTACTTAGTAGATACTATTTATAACCATAGAGGTATGGGTATTTCCATATCAGTTAAAACATATTAATAATATTATGTTCTATGGTTAAAATAAATTTTTTTTACGTGCCACCGAACCATATTATTGACATTTTATCACTGATAACACAACGGAATGTAAACGAAAACATGTGATAATAAACAACGATAAGTCTAAAACTCTAAATTAAGAYCATATTTTACTAGGAACGTTGAAATAAAGAATTCTCTATGTTGGCGATCAAGACTAACACATTTTTTACATTTTTTATTACCATTCAAAAATTATTAAATTGTATTATTCATCAGACATATTTTCAAAATATTATGTTGATGGCAGTACAGGTTGGAAATTAAAATCAACTTCTTTAGCCAATTTTATTTTTCATAATTTAATTTTCTTTTAGGAAACCTGGGTTTGCCAAAGGGTTGACTATTCAAGGTCAAACAAACTCAAGATCTCCACCACTCTCCATAACTTCAAGCCCTGGATCCATTCAATCATCTAGCAGGTATGTTTTGTTATGCAATTTGGATTAATAGGCCCAATGCAATTGAATATTTTTTTCCTAGTTCAAGCAGTGGTGTCCATTCAGCTCCACCAAACATGGAATCCGCGGCTGAMCACAAATATGACCCTCCATTTAGGTCTATGTCGGCTCCTGCACCCAGTAATTCGCAACCGTCATCTTCATCCACTGAAGTGACTACTGATAATTCTGAGGAAACTGCTAGTACATGTACTGTACCTGCCAACAGCAGTGGTTCAGACCAGCCAAATAGTCCTCCATCAGAAACTGTTTATCAACCAAAGAACATACACCATCAAACGTCTTTACCAATTTTATCTTCAAATATAATGCATAATAAACATCGAACATTTCACAGATCTACATCTAAGACAGAAGCTGTAAAAAAGTAAGATTTTTTATTGATCATATTAAGCTCGGTTTTTGTTTTAGTATGAATTATACATACATATTCTGTACAAGTTTTAAATAAATTTTAGGTTGAGTCTAGAATAGGTACCTGAGGTATATTATATTTTGTACCTACGTAAATTTAATTCTCAAGAACTGCAATAATCTATCATATTATGCTTATGCACTATGTACAGGAAACTAATTTATATGTACAATGTATATCTCTATAATAAATAAATAAACAATAAGTTCTAGATATTCTAAATATTATGTGGCAAAAATGTAAAAATATGTGAACAAAATTAAGTATAATATTTCCTAGAATATTTCTTATTTTTGATTTTTACTTTCATGTGTAAGTCACAAATCTAAAATTTTTTTTTTGATGCCTTGATATTTTATGTTTTGAATACTTATATGAATATTTTAATACCTAATTTCTATCACCAATTGTACATAATATGTTAATACTTCAAGGTAGCATGAACTTAAAAGTGATCATTGGAAAATTATTTAAAAATATCTTATTGAAGTACATTTTTAATTGATTCAATAATAAAAATAAAAAATTCCATCTAACAAGATTTTCAATTTATTTTGTGTAGCTTCATTAAAAGAGAAACAGCTATGTTTTTTGGACTTGATGAAGAATTTGAGGAAACTGAAAAACTTAAATGGCTAGATAGAAGAAAACGTCTAGCTACTAGAAAATATGGAGAGTTGAAAAATGAATACATTAATTCTGTAAATGAAATTCCCACAACTCAAATTGCACAGGTATTTTAATTCAATTTAGTTTTAAATATTTACTATCTTATTGCCTTTGTTATATACACTATTAAGTAAGTAAGTAATAATAATAATAATAAAAATAATTTTTTTAGCCTGATGTATTACAGTCTAGTCGAGATATTGATGAACGAGATAGTGCCACCCGTGTTCAACCTTTAGGAAGGAAACCATCTGTCGCTAAATTAACATTAAGCGGATTATCTTTTGTTGTTTCGGTAAACCTATAATTTAAAAAATTTATTTTGTGATGTATCATACTTTATGTATTTTTAATCATATTTACAGAAAACACTAAGTCGTAAAAAAAAAATAATAGCAACACCTAATGAATGGTCTCGAAGTTATCCCTCGTCTGTCACATCTGATGCTCCAACAATCTCATCTCAAATGACTGATGATGTAATTATATTGTTATATTCAAACATATTTATTATTTATTGTAATATTTTAATGTTTATTTGAATTTGTTTAAATTGCAGGTGTTTTTTGATCGACTCTCCTCGGATAGCGGCGACCAAGGAATAGAACAAGAAGTCGTGGATTCTGGTCGAAATTATGAAAGTTCAATTAGACAACATTATAAAAAACCACATCAAAATTTTAGAAGGTATTCTAGCTGGCAAAGAAATCCATCTAGAAGAGTTGAAGATGATCATATGCCAAACATTGGTATGGGTAGAATTTGGGGCAGAGTATTGGATAGAGCATTTGATAACTCTGATAGAAGGCAATATGGAATGGGTTTTATTGGAAGAGTATGCAGGTAATAATTAAATAGTTATTATTCAATTCTCCATTTCCATTTTTTGTTTTTACATTAATTAATGAAAACATTTTAGACGTTCTTTAAACAAAACAGTTGTAAACAGAAAGGATGTAAAGCAACAACTTGATGATTTAGAAGATCACAGGCCATTTTTTACTTATTGGGTTACAGTAGTTCAAATTTTAGTGCTATTTTTATCAATATTTTCCTATGGTCTTGGACCTTTTGGTATTGATCTCAGTCACCAATCTGGCGCTGTAAGTAAATTATTTAAGAATGTTTTATAATGATTTGTAATATATTTTATCATGTAATATAATATCAGGTCATGGTCACTAGCTTATCTGTACAAATCATTGAATACATAGAACCTTCTAATTTTTGGATAGGACCACGAGCGGTAAGTAATATTCAATTTATTCTATTGACATTTTTCTTTAATTTCAACCATTTTCTTTTTTTTTTTGGAAAATTCAGGCGGATTTAATACATTTGGGCGCTAAGTTTGCCCCTTGCATGCGAAAAGATAAAAATATAATGAAAGAAATTGAAAAATGGCGGGAAAAAGAGAGAGAAACTGCTTGTTGTATCAGAAATGATGACTCTGGGTGTATTCAAGCGTCAAAAGAACAGTGCACAGTAAGATATAAATATTGCATTTCTATAAATTAAATTAATTAATCTATAATACTTAATGTATTATACAATAATAACTCATATCAAAAATTAAGACCAAATTACTTATTGTTTTATAATAGTCAGTTCATAATTACATAATATTATTAATAGTTATATAATATCATTAAGAGGACACTACACGCATTTGTTATCTCCGTCTTACAAACGTACATGGCAAATTTTACCTTTTCAATGATATATTTTATTCTAGAATTTCTAAAATTAAAGTGAATTAACTTTAAAGTATAAAGAAAAGAATATTATATAGAGTATCTTAGAGGATTTTATTGATATTTTTAAATATTTATGACCATTTTTACTGTTAGTTTCTACATTCTAAAATGATTTTAACTTACTTGTAAATAAYATCAATAAAATCTGAGGTGTACTAGATAAAATTTTTTTCTTTAAATTTTATAAGAGGTAAATTCACTCTAATTTTAGAAATTACTAAGTAAAATATATTATTKTGAACGTAAAACTTTCTATATTGTACCTTTATAAGACCTAGACAACAAATGCCAGTATGTCATGAAGATCCTCTTTTTAATACCAATGATATAGACAAAGAGAATAGAGATTGCGTCTACACAAAATGCCTATGTTCATTTTAGAGGTGAAATTAAAATGTTCAACAGCACCTTTTATTACTGTGGCATGTTTATTGCATAGACAAATCTTTATACAATATAAACTCAATAATGTACTATATTATTATTAACTATTAAGTAAATTATATGATTTTTTATAAGATTAATTAATTATAAGATTTTTTCTTATGATTATTTTCAACCTCATACTATAATAGTACCTACATATTATCATTGATACATACATAAATATATACTCAATGATATTATCTGATAATTAATACAAAATGCAATCTCGCATAAATTACATAGGTATATTTTAATTTAAAATTGATTTAATTTCAAAATATTAAATACCAATTTTGTATAGTAAATTATTTTACTTAACTGTTTTTTTGAAGTAAAATAGCTTTAATCTATACCATAATATAAACTACTTAATTTCATATAATAAAAAAAAAAATTAACTGTCAACATTTTTATGGTAGACTTGCCTAAAAAAACTTTCCTTTTAAAAGTTTACTTTTTATTATCACACTTAGAAAATAGCATTATAAATTTAAAAAATTTAAATTACATACTTTTATGAGGAAAACTGTTTACTTTTATAAAACATTTTATTTTTTGTGAGTATTCCCTTATTTTGTTTAAATTTTATACACTTGTTGAATATAGATCAAAGTAGTATTATATTATACTTTAAAAAATATAAACTGATAATATTCAAATTGAATTTCATATAATTTTTGTTAAAATATTCTTCATTTATGAATATTAAGTTAATTAAATCATAATAAGTTATCTCTCAATACGCTATTTTGTGTACCACCCAACTTATACAAGTATAATATAACAAAATCAATGCTATTGCAGCTAACTACCTTTTAATTGGTTTARTGTTGTTACTTGTTAGTGAGGGAGATGGATGTCCATGCATCATCTGATTATATTAAACTTCATAAAATGTTTGTTATGGAAATATAAAGGATATATTTAAAGTGAAGAATCCATGGTTAAATTACACAGTTAATGATAATTATATAAATTTATWAATTTTTTTAATCTTTAAAATTATGTACCTATTAATATCATATTTTAAATATTATTTATTTAATATTTCGTGTAAAATTGCTGAATTTAATAACATTAGTAACATTAGTAACTTATTATACATTACAGGTAGTTAGAGTAGGGGCTATCATCGCTATTTTCACATCTTCCAACCTTAATTTTTATTTAATTTTTACAATAACTTATGATGGTATCCATCTAAATTCCACCTAAATATAAACAATATAAAGCTTTTAATTATTTACTGCTTACATTWAAATTTCAAATAAAAACTATGTTATTGTAAGTATAGATTTTATTTTAATTTTAAATATGAAGTGTAAAACTGCTGCAGCGTTTTAATAATTGAGCTTTTTTACTTTGTTTYAAGTAAAGTTATACAGTTTTAAATATTGATGATTGTAAGTTTATCAATTAGTCACTAATTTATATAACTAATTGATTCGAGGTATTCGTAAATTTGATTCACTATAAAAACTATTAACCAAAATTTGATAGTTTTATTCTTATCGAGTGTTTGTCTGTTTGTACTGTTTTTAATACCATCTCACAAACGTCTCACGGATTGGGGTGGTGGAAGTGGTGGAGGTGGAGGAGATGGAGATAAACCCCCTTCGGTAAGAATATTGAAGCAGACATTTTGACCAAATACTATTGCTTGACTTCTTATAATAATAATTATTATGAAAATAAAGCTTTTCAATGTTGTTAATTTTTTTGATTTTTATGCACCTAAGATTTTATACTTTGTTGTTACTTGTTTGTGTTAAAATATTATTTTAATAACATTTATAATTTACCCTTAGAAGTATTTAAGTATTTAGTTTGTAATAAAGTTTTAATTATTGTTTTGTTGATGAAGTATATATATTTTTAGGTGTACAATTATCCTTATATTTTTGTTTTTTTTTTATAAAAGTTTGAAATTTGAATGCATTTTCAGAATTAAGTTTATTTTTTTTTTGAAAAATTTTATGAAATAATTATCATAATCATAATAATTTATTTTATTACATTTTAGACATCAATTTCTAAGTGGAAAAAATGGTCAGAAGTGGAATCAGGACCGGGAGGAAGAATATCTGGTTCTGTTTGTGGCTTGGATCCAAAGTATGGAATTCCCTTACTAATTAACTAGGTTAGGTATAGGTACATATAAACTATAAACTAATCACTTTTTTTGTTAGGTATTGTGAAGCTCCTGCATCTATAGCTCCATTTGAATGGCCTGACGATATAACAAAATGGCCAATTTGCCGTAAGATGAGCGGTAGAGGTAGTGCACGACGTAGCAATTGGGGTAGTCCATTGATTCAAAAACTGACATCTGCTGAACACATGATTTGCGAAGTGATAGGGCACCCATGCTGTATAGGAATACATGGCACTTGTCGAATAACTACAAGAGAATATTGTGATTTTGTACATGGTTATTTCCATGATGATGCATCATTATGCTCTCAAGTATGTAATATTGGTCATTGGTGTATACAATATAACTAATGTCATTTTTATAAACATTTAAATTAATTATATTTTTGTTTTGTAGGTTTCGTGCCTAAATGATGTGTGTGGTCTCATACCTTTCTTTTCTCCTGAAATTCCTGATCAATTTTACAGATTGTGGATATCACTTTTTATACATGCAGGGTAATTATAATATTTTTTAAATGCAAATAATTTAAAGAGAATATTTTATTTATTTCAAAATATACAAATATCTATACAGTTTTTGTTCTAAATAGTATTTATTTAAAGTATGTTCATTTTGCTTTCTGTTTTATAATTAAATTAAGAAAAATATGTACATTAAAAGGACAATAAATAATTATARCTCAAGTTAAATCAAGGGTCTCAGTTCCAAATTCACTGTTTTAAAATTAACTAACACAATATATTTTATGTATTGGATATATTTGCTGATACTATTAAAAATGTAGTTTTTTTTATTAAATCTTATAATATTTTATTATCAATAAAATATGAGTATAAAAGTCTTAATCAATTATTCAATTTTTGATTTTTCCAGTATTCTTCATTTAGCAACCACAATCGTGATACAGTATTTTTTGATGAGAGATTTAGAAAAATTGACTGGATCTTTAAGAATAGCTTTAATCTATTTGGGTTCTGGAGTGGCAGGTAATCTCGGCAGTGCAATATTTGTGCCTTATAGAGCTGATGTAAGTAAATTCATATTATCATTTATTATCAATTCATAATCATTTAGATTATTAAAAATTAATTTTTATTAATGCCAATATATATATATTAAGAGTCCAATTAATATTTAATTTGTTTTAGGTGGGCCCAGCCGGTTCCCAATTTGGCCTTTTGGCGTGCCTTATAGTTGAAGTATTGAATTGTTGGCCTATGTTAAAGAGGCCCGAGCAGGCGCTTTCAAAACTATTAGCTATCACATTCCTGCTGTTTCTGCTCGGGCTACTGCCTTGGGTGGACAACTTTGCACATCTGTTTGGTTTCATTTTTGGATTCTTATTGTCTTATGCATTGTTGCCATTTGTTTCATTTGGACCATATGACCGTCAGAAGAAAATCTTCCTGATCTGGGTGTGCCTGTTATCTGCGTTGTTCCTGTTCTTGTTGTTGTTGTTACTGTTCTACCTGATACCAATGTATGATTGTGAAATGTGTAGCTATTTCAATTGTATACCCATAACTAAAGACTTTTGCGCCAATCAGAATATTAATTTTAAAAAAGATGATTATACGGTATGACAAATGTGGTGGCGACGGTGCAAGACCGCGCATACGTTAGTGACGACATTTGCGAATTGTTTTGTGACTTTAGCCACCTCCTGTAAAATGCTTGAGGTACTCGTTGATATTTATGCTCTCTTTTCAGTGGTAAAAAGGAAGAATAATAAACATAATAAAATTATTATAGTTTTTAAGAAATTTACTTACTCAGTTTCATGTTATTGTGCAAAGAGATCATTAAAAAAAATCAAATTGTATTGTTTCTAATAAGTTATATTATTTACATTAATAATGTATGTTACATATTAGTATTGACTGAATTATTTTATTAGTATTTTATCGTTCAAGTGTGAGGGATAGCTTAAAAGTCAGTGATAAATTATAATGTTATAGTTTTCAATTTTAAGTATAAGAAAATTAATTAAAAATYTATCTGGTGAATTTAATGACTTATTGATTGAAAATTGTAATGTGATCACTTTTTAGCTGATATTCTAAATTGTTCCTTTTTAGATTACATGCCATTTATTAAAGAAWATAATTTTTTGWCTTATTATGGAATGATTATTTCCCATTTGTGGTAATAACATTAAAAAAGTGGTACTGGTTTATTGTTGCCCCACCTCAGTTGTGTCATCACACCCTTGAGGACTTAAATAATTAATAATTGCATTTTTTTTATASAATATAATACAACATCAAAATTAAATAATCATTTATATAATTTACAATTAATGATAATACATAAAATTTAATAATTTATAATTTATCATTACACTTAAACACTAAAAATAGGTAGCTAATCTATTTCCCAATAATCCTTTAATATTTTTATTATTTTCACCATGGTCACACATTTCGTTTATTTTAAGGGTACAATTTCTTCCTCATATGTTTTTGTTGTAAAAATTGAATGCCAATTTAAGTAATATAGTCGTGAATTTACTTATTAATTTCATCGTAATTCATTTTTAACATTTTAAAATAATGGTTTTAAAATGAATAGACAGTGCTTGAAATAATGAAACCCTCTATTAAAATAACATTTTTTGCGTTTCCTTTGATTTATATCCTAATCATAAGAAATTTAAATAATGAGTTATACACAGTTCTTTAAATAACATTATGATATTGTAATTAAAATTAAAATACAATTCAAAATTGTAATTGTCAATCAATAAAGTTTTTTTCCATTTTCCTATGATTAGATTACGCACTGGTACTAGACTTACCTATTTTTTTTATACAATATTGATCATAAATTTCGAATTTGTTGATTAAAGACTGCAGATGTGTGGTTGCTTGATGGTGGAGCCAAATAATTATATACCAAAAAAAAGTAATGCAAAAGCAAAAGAAAGTTTGTTATAGGTGCATGAAAATTCTTAGTTATTAATATCTTGATTTACAGAGTAAATTATTTTCTTATAATATTATATTTATTCCAATTTCTGAAAAAGTTAACTTTATTATTTATTAAATATTTTGATCTATTAACTCGTGATTACTAATGTTTGATACAGGAAAAAACTGGAAAGTTAAAATCATTTTAATTACCTATCTAAATTTGTTTTTGAACGCTATATTTAATATTTGAGCGCAAGTACATAATGTGTTTAATACAATAATTTAACAATATTATGATAATTAAAGCATTACAGATCACATAAGTATTTATTTATCTATCCGAAAATAGATTTTGATGTATTTAATTAGGTAATTACAGTCTAAAATATTTTAATTTCAATTCATGAAAAAAAATGATTCTGATTTATACACAAATATATAAAAAAAAAATGTAATAATAATCATACAATGCAATATGTACGATATAGCTTCATCTAATTTTTCTTTTAACATTATTAGTGAAAATTCTTTTTATATTGTAATGTAAAGAAACACCATCAGAATTGAACGCAGCTAAGAGATAGCTTAAAAGTGTAGGTGATTATATTGTAAGGTTTTTTAGTCGTGTAATGCTTCATAATTCAAACACAATGTGAAATAGTTGTGTCCGTGTGCATAAGTTTTATTCTATATTATTTTGTAACTTAAAGGTATTCTAATATTTGACCGCCTGTTGCGTTAGTTTTATGCCCAGTATCTTCAGATAATCCACATTTTGCAGTAGGTTCCTATATCTATATATAGTAATATTATTGTCATGGTACTGCTAACTTTAAATGTTACTAATTACCTACTAACTTTTTTTTGGCTTGGTCGAACATAAGAATATGGGTACCCAATGAGAATTTTGTACAGTCGTTATCGTACTCGTGTCTAATAATATAAGTAATATAAACCGACCAAACTCATCGTAATTATTATTATTAAAACTAGCAAATACTGATGTTTAAATTGTTTTGTTTTTCTAAATTTTCAGGGTAAAATCCTCAAAAAAAGTTTCACAATATTGCTTTCGGCGATTTATTTATTCGTTAATTTTTTTTGTTTTTGCCCAATATTTTCTCCATTTCGTCGCACACCAAATCGTAGATCTTTTATTAAAATATGGAGGTGTATTTTAACTATCGTGTTTGAATATACATTGATAGAAGCCAGTAATAGGTACTCGTAAGTCTTAGACCGCTGGGGGTAGGACCGCAAGTCCTGCGGATCGATGTCCACATCGTCGTCATCCGCAACAGTATTACAACAATCCATATCTTATCATCGCGCGTCCGTTTTATAATAATTTATAGCAATATTATGCTTTTTAGTAAGATGCACGTTATTATAATATAATTTATTAAGACTGTTTAGCGATAAAAAATTGTACGTGCAATATTTGTACAGCTTAGACTATATTATATTATTAATAATTATAATTTGAAACAAATGTCGAACTGAATTCGTATGATGAGGAAATGTATCATTGTTAATAAACAAAGATTATAATATAATTAGGTATATTATTTTAAAATAATTGTAGATATCAATAGGTAATAATAATATTTATCGTCATTACAATATTATCGACGTTATTCCGATAATGAATTTTTATAACATTTCGTGCACATTTATTTGTTACGTACATTATACCGTATGATAATTAATAATTATTATATAAACAGTCTTAAAGTATCTCAAAACGCTCTATTATTTATATAACGCTCTAAACGCGTATAAACATTTTAAACGGAAATCATACGTTTTTTTTATCCATAGTAATTTCGGTTTACTCGTCGTGAGGTATTACTAACAATACCCTACCTATTTGATGGAACCTAAGTACGTTGTACGTGCGTTTCTCTCAAATCGGTCGGTTTTTCAAAATATCTATACATAAGAGGTACGCAAATGAAAACTGTTGTACAAAAAAATTATCGTGACCATAATAGTTTTGAACGTTATTATATTAAATATAAGAATATTAGGTGAAACATACATAATTTTCACATCTTATCAAACCARTACCTACCTATCTAGTATATAATCGACAATATTATTTAAAAAAATGTTATTATTATTCTCAAATCGACCGATTCGTGGAGATTGTAACACAACACTGATACACGCCGATCAAGGCCATCGGTATTTTTTAAGACACAAGAGTAGAACAAAGGCGGCTCGCGCACTGCACTTTGCATAAGGCATAACTCAACAATTTTAATAAAAATCACTAACGTTTTAATTTTCGTAATAGAAACCTCCCTAATTTTCGTACAAAACTTAGATTTTTCACTATCGCATAGTTATTGGTACCTGCAGCCTAACCGTAGCCCACATGACTCGTTAACAAGCGCCCACACGTGACGATTGATTGAAAATATTATTACATGATYTTACTGTCGGCCGTATACGTCATAATATAATACTTCGCATAAAATATTGGSTTTTGACGTTTTTATTTTTGAAAAATGAACAACGATCGGGCACGCCGAAAATATCATAAATGCCTGTAAAGTTACGAACGCGAAATGACAATTATTAYATAATATTAATATTATTACCACTTTAAGGCTCGTAGGCTATTTTTCAAAATTCGTGCGTGTAAGTTGRGTGGTATGATAATGTATGAACGCAAATCGGCATAACTTTTGTTTTTCCGTAGCGCATAATTTATAGTATTAAAAACTTACATTAATTCTCATTAATGTTTTGTCAGTTTAAAAAAAAAAATCTGTGTAATATTATCACGATATTGTAATATCCCCCCCCCTCGTAGCTGCTAGTCGGCAATACACTCGAACAAATTTAAAAATTCACAATCGTTTATAACATATTATGGCTAATTCGCGTTCGTCCGAACAGTAAATAATATCGTATTATTTCCAAATTAAGTAATGCAAAACAAGTACACTGCTATTATTGTACCGTTCACTCGTCATATTAAATATATTCCTATAATATAATATTATTAAGTATACCTATGTAAAAATAAAAAAATAAAAAAATAAAAAATAGACATTTGTAAAGTGATTTAAAAATTTGTTTTGTTTTTAATAATTATATATTGTAATATGTACTTATAAATTAATATTACRTTCGACTATAAGATTATTTTCATTAAAAATTATATGCGCATATTATTATAATATATAGGAMTTAAGATATTTTTTGATCATGTATATTGATATTATTTATAATTAATAATATTCAGATATTCAGTTTATGTGTCTAAACATAATAATATTGTCATTAAAAAAAACTCAGAGCTCCTTATTGGCGCCGACTACATAATATACCATTTATGTTTGATAGTAATTATATTATATCGCAAACTGATTAATTGGACAAAATGTGCGTTGTAATATTTTTATTATAATATTATATATTATATAAATATGTCATATATATAATAATTATTATGGTGTAATAACGAAATTGTGTAAATATTTTTGTATTGTAAATCTTCCATATTGTATCCTATAATGACCAAAATGAAAATGGTAAATGTATATTATTATCCAATATTATATAATTATAGTATTTTGAAAATCAATATGCTCCGTATATTGTGTTGATTTTGTGACATAGGAACTTCCAGTACACTCCCAACGCTGCCAATGATACTCCTGTCAAGTGTGAATCACAAGACCTAAAACATTAATGAACAAAACATGTACCTATCAATAAATATAGTAAGCATTACATTTTCCAGGGTTTATGATTTAAGAAGATTCCGCATCAGCATGTGGTGAATYCACCCACTTAATTATTATTATTTCGTAATGTTACTTATTAATCAAACATGCATTTCCGCGGTAGATTCAAGTATATTATGAATCCTGCTATGCACTTATCTTGTCACCCAATCGTTTTTTACACAAAGAAATAATGTGAATAAAATAAAAATAATTATAATAGCAATATTTTGTTCACTTCGCTATGAACATAAAAAATGTCGAAAGCTATAACGCGTTCATCATCCAGCTAGGAATGTTGGAACTAAAACAATTAAAATCTAATATATTTACGATTCATCATTTTTGTGTTGAACACACTTATTGTGCTTGATTGAAGACACAATAATTGGAAACCATTCCTGCCGAAAGAAATCCACCATGTTTTGTATTCCACAAACTGCAACTGTTTAATAATAATAATAATTTAAAATACATCTTGGAACCTATACCCTATATCTTTCTAATTTTTACCATGTTTGTAAAGTCTTTACATTGGTAAATTTAACAATATCAAATATTAATAGGACGCTACACCAGCATGTGTTGTCTTTATCTCACAAGTGCGGAATATAGCAAATTTTAAGCTCGCAGATCGCGTTTAGCTCTGTTAGTTTAAAATGTAAAGTGAATTGACCTCTTATAAAAATTAGAGGTGACAATATTTTCGAGGGCTTTTTAATATATTTTACTTTTAAAGCGAGTAATGTGTATTTATATTTTTAGAAAAGAATAGCATACTCCTTATGTAATTAAGTCTAGTCACGTATTATGGGGGGGGGGAGGAGTTGACAACCAGGATTCCTCCCTCTCCTAAAAAAATTAGGTGTAACTTTTTGGCTCTATTTTAGTTTACGGATATGTACTTTAARATCCATACACTRTTTCYGACTAGGATTTATGATTGTGTACAACGCCGATTTTTGATACTYGCTCGAGTCTCTTGTATTGTGCTTGGTATTTCAAATTAGGCTCACAATTATACCAATATCTCAGATGTACTTGAACTGTCTATATACTCTTACTGAACGCAAAAAAAAGTTTTTTTTATACATTTTTATTCGATATAAGCAATCTATACAATTTTGACAATAAATTTATTTGATAAAAGAAATAGTATATAAAAAGTATATACATGAAAGGCGAACTTTAAGCAGCCACCCACTAATGGCTCTTGACTAGAAGAAAAAAGTTAAATTTAATATTTATTCACAGTCTAATAACGAATTAAATTTACTCTCCATATTTCCTATCCCTATAAATTTCTTAGTCTCTTCACATACATGTTCCATGTTCCTAGATCCAATAACAAACTATAATACAAAAAGAGTTTTTGTGACGTTTTATATTAGTTAACCTCTCCTTTAATTATGGTTTGCTATAATATTTTGTTTTGTATTATATTCATAGAATCAAATTGGTTCAATTTGGTGGGGGAGCTTAAGCCCTGATTATTTATGCATTGAGTTTTTAATAGTTTGTAGTACATTAATAAATTTGGGAGGGGGGCTAATCCTCCTTAGCCCCCTGCGATTCACGTATCTGATTCTATTGTATTGATTGTCATTATTTCTGTTTTGGTAATTGTTATCTTGAATGTCCTACTATCATAATCAGGTAATTGGTAATTTACATTATTATCTGTGACTATTATTGTTTAGGTACCTACTCAGATGCTTTTACTAATATGTCTATGCTCCCGTGTTATGTAAAAAGGCGTAACTCGTATATTTTGTAACAAATAAATAAATACCTAATTAATAAATAATTTTGTCCAATCATATAAATATTAAAATATATTTCTATTGTTAAGGGTAACTGTCAAGAATCTTACTTTGTTCAATGAATAAATCTTTGTATCTGTCCAGCATTTTTAAATCACTGGCCATGTTTTGAGCTTCTTCAAAAATTGTACTGCATTTGTTTTGTATTATTTCTTTTAACACATTTCGATGTTTCAGATTTTTACATATTTTCATCTAACGGAAACAATATAATATGTAACGTTAAACACCATAATATTATAAATTATGATAAAATATTGACGTCAGTTTTTACAAATTATTAGACATGATCAAATGAGATATATCTAATAATATGTTACTCACTTTTCTTAAAAGATGAATGTACAACACTTGGTGTGTAAGCGCGTATCCAAAAAATCGTTTTTTAAATTCTAGTTGAAAGCATTCATACGTTACATTGCATGAAGAAATCACTTGACCAATGCATTTATCCGAAATATTTCGAAAATATGCATCACCATCGGCTAAAATATCTTCATCGAACCATACTTTAGTAGGCAAAGTAATATTTGATTTGTGTTTCAATGTTTGGGGAGAAATCCAGAGCTTATGATCGAGAATTGTTCTTGCTGAAAAACAATTTATTGAATTACCTATTCTTATTTCTTATAGATGTATCGACACTAACACATATTTAATATGTCTATGTATTGTTAAGACTTAACCACTAAACCATTAACATAGTTGGCATATTCATTCAATGAAATAAATATAAGTACTATTTCGATCGTACAACCAAATAAACATCAAATATAAGTAGGCATTTAAGTTTTCATTGTATTTTAAAAGTAGGTAATGAAATACATAATAATATGCTAAGTCTATAATAAAAGTAAATACTTATTAATATGTATTTTAAAAACCAATAATTAATAATTAATATTATATTAATGACTATAAACAATTCAAAATAATGTTTTAATTAACTTATTAATGTTCTTTATGCGGTTTATGAAAAATTACCTACAAATAATACAAAAATATTTGAATACATTTTTTAATTGACTGTTATAAAAAATTTAAAAGTCAAAACTTTTGTGTGGCTTGGTGTGTCCACAGTGTCCACTCCACACTTTGTTGCGTACGCGCTCTGAGTGTACGCACCGGCCGACGTTGCTAGCTCYCGGATGGGTAACCACCCGGGATTTTTAGCAACAAAACAAACAACCTTGAAAGTTACCACACATAYATTTCGTGTTGCAAACCATCCGYCTCCCCTAAAAACAGCTAATGACCACGATTGCCAAGGTTATGATCAACAAAAAAAAAACTTTTGTTTTATTGTGAAATGGAAATCCAACACATTACTGGTAGACGGTAAATGGATTTGCCCAACGTATAAACAAAAAGTAAATTTTGACAAAAAAGTGATAAATTATTGAAAAAATAAAGAAAATCGATATAATGTTCAATTGACCTAATTTGCTTACTAATTCTATAAAATATATTTTGCTTACTTGAATCCATCAAATTGTTTTTATAAAATTTCACGTAAAGATTTCTAATCATTACATTCAATTTGTATATCTTGAAGAAACCAGCATTRGAATGTATTCGAGAATTTTTATAACACGACATAAATTGACCTGTGGGTTTATAGGCACAAAAAATGTACAGAAATTAAATATTTTATATAAACTCGAATTCCCAACTCTATAGAAGTAGAGTGGTAGGTATATATAATATAACATAAAATAAAATACAAATATGTAAATGAAATCATTAAGTGTAAACTGGACAAACTGTGGTCAGTGACCACATATAGATGATGACTGAAAATTTTTTAAATTTAATGCTGCTATTTCGACTGCCAGCTACCTATTCTTTTTAATGTTTTGACGCTTGAAAATATATAGAATATAGCATTTGAGTAATACTGAGTGGTTGTATAGCTTTTAAAAGGGTGGACAAATCATTAATTATAAAATATAAAATTAGGATAAATGGACCAATTAAAATTAATTTTTTCGGTTTCAGGTAAAAATTTTTTATAATAAATATTGAAATTCGAATACACAACATTTCTCATAGTTTCTCCCATTACTATATATTTACAATATGTTCTCATAAAAATTAATACGTATTGAAATTATTATTACCTTTCATTATGGATACTCCTAGCATTAAATTTAAATCGACATCATAATTATTAACATCTGATCTTAAATAATGTCGTATCTGATATTCGACTAAATCCAATATTCTGTCTTCCAAGTCTAGGATGGTACTCAATTCTTCATCAACAGTAAAAAATGGCGACGATTTGCTGCAGCCAAGCAATACTCTGCTGAGTAGTACTATGCAAAAGGCGCACCGCTGCAGTGACATTGTCGCCTTGCAACGGTGCGGGAACTGATGGAAATGAGAACTGTTGTAAATGCGGCGATTTCCGTGGTTGTTTTATTCTCGGAGAAAAAAAGGTTTGATTGTGACGAATTGTTATAATAGAAGTCCGACAACATTGAACGGTGTTTTGTAAGTTGTGACGTTGTGCATATATATTATAATTATACTTGTCACCGTGGGTTGGGGTTTTTTTATTTTCCAATTCCGACTTGTAGCCMAAGGGATGGGATAAGCTTTGTGATTTCGAGTAACACAATTCTGTTTTTTAATTTAAATAAATTAGCCACTCGAAATATATTATTTAAATTTGTTTTTGTAGAATTTATTTTATTATATAATTGTTTAAGAAATATTTCCAGTCTCCCAGTTTTGAAATAACCTACCTACTACAAACCATAATATTATAGATCATTATATACTGTTGATTCATTGTATACCTACTTTATTTCATAGATTTCTTTTATCTGTATACCTTACCTATGTTGTAAAATAATTAATTTTTAATCTAAAAAAATATATTGTGAATTTGTGATGACTAAAAAATATATAACAGAAGGGGGATTAGAGGAACAGATTCCCTATGACCTTTTTTCAATGTCAAATAGGTTTATGTCAAAAAATCAGTTACATAATCTTAGATTTAAGAATAAAATTATTTATTTTTTCATTTATATACCAGCTAAAACAAATTTTAGATTTATTTCCACCATCTATACCAGTTTTGAATTTAAATCTACTTTATTTATTTTTTATTTATCAAAAACAATTCTAATGTATAAACTAGTGTTCGGGACGTTCACTCAAAAAAAAAATATGGATTCGTTCACGTTCACGTTCATGTTTTTTTCAAACGAATGTGTTTACGTTCACGTTCTTTGAAAAAATGATCGCATTCATTAGGTCATTMATTTAATTTTTTGTTTATGAATAGTTTACCGGCACTCGGCAGCTTATATAAAAACTCATTAACATATAGGATAAGCCAAAAATAAAACAAAATTTAGACTTTAGAGCATATACATTTTCTAAAGTATCTGGATTATATTTATTAAATAGTAAATAAATCGAGTGTTTTAAAAATGGTTTAAATGTATTAAAAATATAAACGTCGTTCACATTCACGTTCTATTTGAAAAAAAAGAGTGACGTTCATGTATCGTTCACTAACTATGAACGTAATTTAAATTTTATGTACGTTCATGAACGAAGTTCTTTCCAAACACTGGTATAAATTATAAGTTTTTTWAATTATTTTTTTAATGCAATTACTCTATTTCAATCCTAGAATCACTTCAATATACTAAAATTCTATGTTTCTCAATAAATAGTAAAATTTGTATTTGTATTTTACCTGATTCAATTTTTAGCGTGTAATATTGTTATTCAATGATGATTCAGCATCCATTAGCTTTATCTGGAAGTGAACTTTATAGGCTTGACATAAAGAACTTGTACCTAAAGATAAAATTTTAAATATTTAAAAATTTACAAGTGGAGGTTGTAGAGGTTCAACTATTAATTGAGCACAAACATTTTAGACGTAGATCATTTTTATTATTTTAATCAAATAATTGTTGCAAATGGGAAAATGTGTAATGAATAGTTTCTTGTTTRTATAATACTTAAGTAATAAATAAAGCTGAAGACTTGTAGCATTTATATATTTGTTTTGCACAGTTAAAACAATTRCAGAATATGGAAAAAATACTGAAGTATAGTTCATGCATTCATAAAGATTTTTTTTGAAATTTTCCTCGTATAATAGTTATGTTTTTTGATTTTTTACACTTACACGTTTTTCCTAAAAGCCTGATAATTTTATAAATTATAATAAAATGTATTAATTAAAATTTAACACTAATAAAAATATAATTAAGAATAATAAATTTAGTTAAATATAATACAGAAAAAACTATTCTTGATCTTAATTTAAAATACATATTTTGAATATAAATGCATATTTGGTGGCTTTTTATTGCTACAAGTMTTCTGTCCTACTAATAATTAATAAAACAGAGAAACAAGGTTTGAACCTTCATTAAATTAATTTCTTGTGTTTGTTGAACAATATAAAATTATGGCAGATTCTTTGGACTTACACTTTCAACCAYGTTCTTTCACTTACTAGTTGCTTCTATAATTTTGAAATATTTTAAGGTACTTTGTGTTAAGAGAATGTTATACTCGCATGTTTTGTCTCAGTCTTATTAACACGCATCAAAGCAAAAACTTTTTTTGCGTAGAACAACTTTACTCCCTCCCTCTGCATTCATGATAGAATTACCAAAGTTCCATAACGCCGGAAAATATTTCAAAGTTCTTTTTGATCGTATTTCAGCTAAAACATAGTAGATTCATAAACCTTGAAAAAATGTCGAACAATACATCTATAAGGAAACTAGTTTAAGACAATAATACTTAATTTTACAAAAACATAAAATACTAWATTCATTCAGGAAAATTAAAATAATTAAAAAGTATAATAATATGCTCTTGCCTATTTAACAATTTTTAAAATTGATCTGGCTTATTTAAAATTTAGACTCATTCGATATTTTCTCCCTTTTWCTATATAAATAATATCAAGAAGGTAAAAATGCATTCAKCKGTAAGCATTTACTGCACATAACAAAATGATCTTATCCTTCAGATAACATGGTATATTGTGTAGTTGGCGCATGGACCCATTTAGTTGGGGGCTCGTGGAACGCTAAACCTAAGCCTTCTAAACATATATATTACACAATAAGTCAAGAAAAATGTGTTCTTCAGTATAAAGCAAAAAAAAAAAGAAGTACTTAACTATTATGCTATATGACTTTTTCTCAAATTTTGCTTATCTTAATACTGAAAGAGATCGATATGTTATCTAATTCTTAAAGAATTAAGATAAATTGGAATTATATAAAATTAGTATAATATTAGGTTGGTAGGTATAAATGTMTAATAATTTATTATTCTAAAAACTGTACATCTACAGTGACTTCTTTGAAGAGGTTGCGGGGAATATGAATTTTTAACTATTCTCAGCTGAGAGAATTCTCTTGAGAGCGTAAAATATACTTTCATTGATTTGTCATATATTTTATATATTAAAAGTAATCCAAAGTGGGCGAGGACATTCACATCCTACCGGCTACCCACAGTAGCAGATCTAGAGTTCACCCAATGGGGAGGTGGCGAATTTTCCAAAATTAAATTACTTTTTTTATATAATCTGTAATTTATTGGAAGCTAAAATTATTTGCATTATTTCACCTATAAAATAAAATAAAAATGAAATTAATGAACTTCATAAGTCATAACTAATGCATTATGTGTAATTATTATAGTAGTATCAAAAAAATAAAAATATCAGTTTTCATCCCAATTTCATAATTTCATAGTATAAAAATAACGTAAAAAATACTCCCCTTGGAGTGGGGGCGATCGTCCAATCGACCCCCCCCTAGTATCCACCACTGGCTACTCTTGATCATGCCCCTGAATATTTGTAACAAATACAACTTAAATGTGATAATTTATTGGTTAAAAAAATAGGTATGTACTAAACTTTGTGTGTTACACATTATTATTAATGTAAATTTATATTTTTATAATAAATAGTTTGTAAGCATTTGCTTTTTTGTCTATTGGTTTATAAAACAAAAATCTTCACTTTAAATTTGATTTATACTAATTAAAATAAAATGCTCGAAATGTAGTAGAAATTATTGATTATTCCATCGATCATAAAAAATTATTGTTGATTTTCTTAACTCATATTTTTAATCATATTAACGAGAGACCTGGARACCTGGTTTTACATTTTAAAGTTTTTTGATCAAGCAAATATTTATTTATCAACAATAAATTAACATTAAAAAAAATTCTTATGCCTAAATTTAGGYCAAAAAGACTCTAAATATTCAGGACATTTTATCATGCGTGAAATAAAGTCAAATAAATATTTTGTGAAAATTTAAAGTACCCCCCTAATGTTTGCTTTAATCATTATTCATTATTCATTTTTATAGTATTTTTGTATAATATTATATATTTTATGTGGAAACGAGTAGCCGAGTAATAGGATCATTATAATACTTCGTAGAGGATACAGATAGCGCTACAAATTTGAATTTTAAGCCGGAGTTAGTCCAATAAAGTTATAGTTGCCATGATTTCATAGGCTCGTCGAGTCCTCAATTTAATATTAAGTAGCAACTGGTGGTGTGCAGTGTGACACATTTCTGGTGATATGAATTATAAACATTTAATAAACGCATAATCTTACTGATTCTGTGCACCCTCATACGACACCCTAATTCCGTCAAACCTGTTCCAATATGGTTAGGCGTCAAATGGTGATGAACAGAAAATGTGATTTTATTCGTTGTTTCACCAGATTATTACACACGAGTACATTGTTGGGATTGACAATCTATTTTTAAATGCTTCGACGATTATTACTTTTTGTACTAGCATATTGTGTGTGCGAACGTAAATTCGTATATGACTCAAGCCAATCTTTTGTAAAATWGTGATAATTCAGTGGTTATGAATTTTAGAATTATAATATAAATTAGCATGAAGTATTATTTTGGATTACCTATCGTTCAATTATATAATATGTTAAGGCACTAAATATTAACATCTTTAAACTGTAAAAGTATAAGCTTTTAATTGTTGAAAAATGTATAGGTATTGACAATAGGCAAATAAAAATAAACACAGAAGTATAAGTGTATACATTTTCTGTTAATGTAATTTCGAAAGATGACATCATTTTTTTGGCACAAATAAGGCTTGGTATCCTTAATAACTAATTTTAACTACAATTTAAAAACTATGTCATCAATTCAACGAAACATCATTTATCATTAATTTGCTTAAGACATCAAAATATATTAAATAAAAATATAAAAAGAGATATTGTCGTTTCATTATGATTGATCCAAAATTAGGTTAATCACAAGAAAAGAGAATATCTCATAACAAATGAATTTCAGTATCATTATTTTTAAGCATATAAAAATTAATAATAATATACAATTAAGCTAATAACAAAATTACCTATATATATGGCATTGTGTATCATTTATATTATATAGAGTAACATTTATTATAGACTAATATTAATATTGTTTTAGGACATTAAAATATAATATCATTATTCATTATACAGTAATAAATTAAAAGTACAGAGTTTTGGAAGCTGTACAACATATAGGTATAACATAAGATGATTATCTGAAACATTTATTTTAAATATTATTTATATAATATATAAATATATATATATGTTTAATTTATGATATTTCTGTGTGTATAAAATTAGCAATTAATAAATTCTTGAGATAATCAATCCATCGAAATTGAAACGTTCTCACATCACTGTTAATAATATTATATATGGCATGAGCGGGTAATTATAGATCGAGTCCGTCATAGGGAGTCGAAATTCGATGTGTCACTACCCTGTAATAATAAAATAATTTTAATATCATAAAAAGGTTTAATGATTTTCTCAATAATTACTCTATTGTCTGGCTTGTAAAGTTTTGACTGAGGCATTAGATATGTGGAGCCTAAATCTCGTTCAACCATCGTATGACCCTCCTAGAAAATATAAATTTGTAATTAGTGCATTTTGTTTAATACTTATAATTGGTACTGTATAACAAAGTTTTATATTTAGTCAAAACATTTACAGAGTGTAATATTTGTTCATATAGTCACCAATCAACAATGCTGGCAGAACCTACCTACGTGATTTGTTTGTATTTTAGAAGTATATGAATTATCCATGTGCCTATTCAATTTCATGTTGAAAAATAATTATTTTAATATTAAATAAGAAATATGTTTCACCCTTTATATCACCACAGTCTATTGTATATACGTCTAAGTTTATTACATTAATACTTTTAATGCATTAGAGCAATTAATACAATCGTTGAAATTGATTTCATAAAACTATATAATATGTATTAAATATTAACTTATTKGAATCGACATTTTTGTAAGGGAATATCTCTTTGTGCAATTTATTGAAGAAATAAAAAACGTATAGGAAGTACACACGAATAAAGTAAACATTTTTATAAGAGAGTGTGACAAAAACACTATAACATACATGAAACGATTGAAATCACGGTCGAATATAAGGTTTGTATTGGAAAAATAAAAAGTAATATTTTCAATTGAAATTAATAAATAAATAATTATTATTAGACGAAGATAAAACAAAGATTATTATTAATTATCACCATAGAAACCATAATATGTATTTTAATGTCGTGAGTCGTGATGGGTGATGAACTGATGATAGTCTTTTTTTTCACATCGTCTTTTAACGAAGTTGCATTTCAATAATTTGTTGCGTTTCTAACTGTTATTCGTTTTTACAAATTATGATCCTTTCAATAGATTTTAAATACGTACTTTTTACGTATTAGTTAAAAGTTATTCAATTTTGATTGTAACTTAAAAAATTATTTATAATATACTTTATTATTTTAATACACATTTAATCGGCTATTATAGGGTATACTGGATTTTGAGATTCAAAACATATAATGTATGATTTTACTATAAATACAAAATGCATTATGTACAAATAGCATAGTTATATTTCTTACGTCATTCGTTTTATGCGAATACTGTGATTTAGATTCATAATGACTATCTGGATGATAGCATCTAGTTGGTGGTTGTATGGTTGTCTCGTCGAACGATCTTGCAACAGATACAGTTCTAAAAAATATCAAATTTGTTATTACTTATTGACTAACAATTGTTATTTATTATTGAAGAAATAATCATAGACATAAATATATACATATTTTAATATAACAAAATATATTTATTAAGTGAATATATTTTGTTAGTTTAAGTACCTAGCAGCTGTTGTTCTGCCAGTATTAAAATCTGGTTTGTTATCTTCACGACATACGTATGCCTCGTCTAGCTCTTTAGTTTTTACAACTGTAGCTGAAACCTCGAACCCAGCAGACACTAGTGCACCTGTAATAAACAATATTTGTCAATAACATACATATTGCCAAATACATTTGTATTACAAATATAGATAATACTATTATTACCTGTGGATGGTTTTTTAGGAGCAGAATGTTTTTTACGTTGAGGTGGTTGAATTTCGACAGATCTCTGTGTAGAATCACTTGGTTTTCTGCTACTACATCTTGATCCCTGTATAACATAGAATATGAATACATTATATAGTCGTATTTCAAGCATTAAATAATTGAAAATCAGTATTTGATTACCTTTGTCGGAGTTTGTCGAGAGTCCAAATACGACATGGCTTTTTGTTCCGGTCCAAAAGTTGACATAGTCAATATGGATGGTGGAGCTTGTTGTGGTGCTGGTCGGTATTTGGCTCTTGGAATCATTACAGTAAGACTTCTATCTCGTTGTTCTAATCCACTTCGCATAGTGTTGCCTCCGTGACTTGATGGAGATGGAGTTTTCATTTGGGAATGGACGTGCGCATGAGTTTGTCTCTGCATGTTCACGACCTATTCATATAGTCATGATTTTAACATGTAATCCGTAATAATTTATACAAAACTTACTTGTTTGACATATGGAGGAGGTGTATGGTCGACGCTTGTTTCACTACCTGTATCGACACTGATCATTGCTCTTTTGTCACCTCTTGTTGTGGCTATCATGTTCCTATAACGTCTAAAACCTATTACTGGACGCTGAGGTTGGTATAGACCCATTACAGACTCTCTGGATTGCTTTTTACAACAAGCCATTAACAGACATGCAACAAGAAGCGATAGTAACATCACTCCAATGGCAATCAGTCCCAATAATAATACTGAAAATATTGTACAATATTAATAACTAATAAAATAAAGTTGGTCAGATGATTGAACAATTTACCTTTTAAATTAAACTGACAGTGTTTACCAGCATACCATTGGAAACATTCACAAATCKTTTCATCTTGGTTACTTAAATAACATGTTCCATGATAATTACATAAGTCACATCCAATAAGTTCAGCTAATAAACAAATTATAAAATAGTTTAGGTTCAATGCGTTTTTAAAAAAGTATAAAGAATAACTTACAAGAACAGACTCTGCCTGGAAATTGGGTATTATGTGAAAGGTCGGAAAATCCATCTTTGCAGCTACATGTATACGTTCCATGTAAATTAAAACATTTTGCATTATCCGAACAGTCGTGGAATTTTGAATCACTGCATTCATTAAAGTCTAAACATAAAACATTATATGATTTTGTTATGAAACCAATATAAATTATTTATAATTTTTACCCTCCGCCGATAATTGTTGTAATTGGTCTCGTGCAACAAATATGTCAGTTCCTCCTAAACTATAGTTTGTGGCTCTAAGTGATTTTTTTGTTGCTTCCCATAATTTAATATCTTCTGCATTTTCAGATAGCTTAAAAGTTTAAAAAATAATTAATAAATAAAAAATATTATTATTATAAATAAAATATTACTTGTATTATATACGAAACCACTGCTTTATCACTTTTTCCATCTGGTTCAAAACCTCCAACTATTACACCATGATAAATATCTCTTAGATCTGACTGCATTGACATACGGTTTAATCCTTCTTTAGTGGCTTCTGTCAGTTTTTGATATTGATTAGAACTAGGATCGTCTAATTGTGAAGAATATTTAATGGGATCTTTACGGAATCTGTCCAATACTAACTTCATTGTATATGTATAAGTAGCTAAACCAAATATCACGGGGAAAATTTAAAAAATGTAGAAAATACTATAATATCTAGATATTTTATCTTATAACAAATTACTCACGTTTACAAGGTCTGTCCAAAAACATTCTTGCAAAACCTGGTCTACAGACGCATCGCATTGTATTTTCCACTCTTTGGCAGATTTCATTTTTAGACGCTTTGCATTCAGGTCGACATTCAGTGTCTGATGAATGAGTTAGAATGCCACTTAGTAATACGTCACTTGGTCCTATTTCATTTGTTTCATCAGGAACTTGTATTTCTGGTGGTATTCCATTGTTTCCGCCTTTTTTATCTGTCATAACTACTAATAATGTTTCATTTTCATCTGGGGGTATATTTATTGTTTTGGTTTTTGTGCCTTCCACTACCGGCACTTGAATAACAGGGTTAGAACGTATTGGAGCTGGAACGGTAGTTGTAATTGTAGACAAGACTTGCGTGGGTTTCACTAATGTATGAAATTCGGTTACTGTGTCTACTAATGTAGATGTTTGGGTTTTGGTGAGAATAAGTGTATGAGTAGATGGTTCGAAACCGTCACTTTGTAAAACTGTTGTTTCTGTTATAGTTACTGATAATGTTTGCGTATGTGTGACAAATCTCGTTGGAAGTGATGAGCCTTGTAATTGCTTGTGGAAGTCATCCATGAATGATGGTCTTTCTGGAAGTTGTAAGATTGTAACTTGTGGTCTCATCTGTGATTTTTGCTTGGGAGTTGTAGGATTTTCAATTATATTTTCATTCGATTTATCTTCTGGCTTTTCTTCGTTTTTGATAATAACACTTATAACACTATGATAATCAGTGGTCTTACTAGTTGGTTTAATCGGTGTTGTGTGTGATTTTATAGTTCCAGTAGTAATTGAAGTCAATGCTGGGGTTTCTGTAGTGGATTGAACTGTTTCTATTTTACTCTCTGTACTTGAAATAGGGCTATATTCATTCCATTTAGTTGTATCTTGAGTAACAATTGTAGGTATTACATGTGTTATAGGATCACTAAAAATTACCGTATTTTCTTTAGTTTTTTCTTGTAATTGTGATTTTATACTCGAACCTTGGTTAAAAACTTTACTTTCTGCTTTTATTATTTCAGGTTTTTCTTCTTTATAGGTTGGTCTGTATTCCGGTCTCGGATTTAATGAAACCTCCCATTTTTTAACAGGTTCAATTTTTGCAGTTGTAGATAATGGTTTTAAAATCATTTCTTCTTGACTATTATGTGGAATTGATGGCCTTCTGTTTAGTGGTCTTTCAAATTGGTATGGAGGAGAGGTTGAAGGTTTTGGTTTAGGACGATAAGGTATCCTAGATACTTGAGGCCTTTGAGTAACATTATCATATTTTAATGAATGGGTAATAACTGGAGGAGGGGATAAGCCTAAAACTTCATTATCACGATTTGGTTTCACTATAGATGGTTGTGGTGTACTGCCTTGGCTATTCAAATCATTATTATCATGTTTAATTGTTGGCAAAGGTGGTAATTTTTCATCCATATTCATTGCTTGTTGAATATCATCTCTTGGAGGATGATTATTTACATGTTTATTTTGTTTCATGGTATTATTCGCAATTTGTTCGTGAGAATGTTGAATGTTATACTGTAAATCTGGACGATTTTCATTTGGCACAACAAAATTTCCAGGTTTTAATTCTGTTTGTTCTTTATTATTTATTGGTTGTCCGATTGATAATGTTTGTTCTTCACCTTTAAAATTACCGACAATAGGTTTTCCAGTAATTATTGGAGTTCTATCTTCATCTGACTCACTGCTATGAACTCCAAATGGTAATTCTCCAGGTCTCAAAGGCGTTTTTTTAGATTCTTGAGTTACTTCACCATCTTCAAATTGTAGTAAATCATCTTCGACTGACAATGCAGCATCGGGCTGCCTTACAAATGAGTTAACTTGAGAGATTGTTGGGGGTGTTAGATATTGATTATTTGGGCTTTGAGGTTTTAAAACCTGAACGGGTCTTGTTTTTACTTCTCCTGTTTCGTTATCATATAAAACTAAATGATGTGATTCTGAATCACCTACAGTAATACCAGCTGGAGAAACTGGGATATCAAAGTGCATTGCATTTGCTGGTATTTTTGATGCAACATTATTTGTCGGATTTAGTGTACCATAAATTTCTAATCCCACAAAACCTGGATTAACATGATTTTCAGGATATGGCTGTGGGTCGTTAAATATTTCTCCTTTGGGACCATGACCAACTGCTGGTTGATCACTGTATATTAATGCAGTTTGGCTACCATGTGGAATCACGACCTGAGCGACTTGTGATGGCTGTATATTAACTAATAATGGATCAACAGCAGATTGCTCCAAAAAAGCTGGTTGATTTGATGTAATTACTTGGTTTCCATAGTTAACCTGAGGTTGAATATCTGGGTTTGTCAATACCAATGGTTGAACATCAGTTACGAACTTGGTTGGCCAAGGATCTGGCTTCCTCAGTGGTATAATATTGACCTCTGATTTAATTGGTGCATTAGTTAGCTGATATTGAGATTGTACTCTATTTTCATGATGTCGAATAGGTTGAGTGTTTTTTCTATCAGTATGTAGTAAGGAATGTTTTATATGCTCTCTCGCGATATTATTAGGAACCGAAATTTTATCTTTGAATTGCAAAGGTGGAGGAGGTGGAGGTCTCATATCAAAAGTTATTTCTTCTTTCTTTGAATTTTCCATTGGTGGCCTTGGACCTAATACTGATGGCTTACCAATAATTACATCGCTGTTTGTTGTAATTACTTCACCGGGACTAATAGGAATTCCTCCTGATAGTAAAGACGCTTCTACAGGTGGTCTTGCTGGTCCAACATGTGGGTGTCTCTGATCAGTGTCTGGATATTGTTGGCTTTCTGATCCATCAGAATCTGCTAGTCCACCTACTGGTATATAAATTGGAGCCCGGCTTGTTGTTTCTGGTTTTACTGGTTTTGGCGTTGATTTTTGTAGCACATGAGCATTCTTAGTTTTTTGGTCATTTTTCAAATTATTTTGAATAATACCAGCAACAGCACTGATAACTGGCTTAAGAGCTGTTAAACTACTCCCTATTGTTCCAAAATCGATTAGTCCTCCGACATTAGTGTTATCTGGCTTAACGGGTATTGGATTTACAGGAATTTTTTGTTCTGATTTTGGTGGAGTGCTTTTTTTTGGTGGTTTTTGGATTTCAGTCTTTTGTGAAACTTTACTAACACTTGATGGTTTAATTGTTTCTTTAAGTTTTTCAATTGGCTTAAAACTGTTTTCATTAATAATTGGTTTTTGAGTTTCTTGAGTTTGAATATTATGAGTTGTGCTTATTTCAATTTGTTCAGTTGGCAATAAATTATTCATAGCAGTGAATTCTATTCGTTGACCGTTATCTAAAGTGGCAGTGGCAGTGATAGGTATTTTTTCATTTTGTACTGAAGAACTTATTGAAGATAAATAATTTGAATTAAAAATTGAAGTGTTTAATGATTCAGTTACTATATTCTGGACAATTTTAGTTCTGGATTTAACTTGTGTAATTGATGGATTTTTACCGTCATTATCTTTTAATAATGTTGTAAAATAAGTAAAAGTTGTTAGATAAGTTTTAGTTGCATACAAATGAAAAGGTAATTTATCAACAGTAGGTGTAGGCTGTATTTCATTAGTTTTAGTAGGCATTAGATACTTTTCTGTAACTATATCAGATGATATGGAAATATCTGATTTTACGATGGTGTGATCTCCATCTTGAATTGTATTAAGATATGTGTAAGTAACATGATAAGTTTTAGTTACATCTGTCATTGTACTTTCTTCTATTAATTTAGATGTATCCATTGTTGGCGTATTGTCTGTCTGGGTAATTATTACTTGTGTTAGTATATCTTCTGTACTTACGACTGTATAATCAGGCCCATCATTCAAAGTTTTAGTAAACGAAACTAAAAATAAAAATAAATTACCTATTAGTATTGTCATACCTTCATACTTATATAAGTATTTAATTATTCTTACCTGTGTTTAGATAGGTGTTAGTGTTATGATATGCGGGTTCAGATGGTTGTAACGGAGTGAGAAACTCATGGGGAGCTGTAACTGTGTTAGCCACAGTTTTTCGACTAGTCATTACTAGTGGAATATCACCATCAACAATAGTATTTAAATATGTATACGTTGTGTGATAGATGCCTGTTTCTAAACTTGGACTAGCTGTTAATGTAACTTGACTATGAGTTGAAGTAGGAGTTATTTTGTTTACTTCATCGGTTACAACGTTAGATACCACCTTTTCTCGACTGGATACTACTGTAGTTTCTTCATCCAGAAATGTAGTTAAATATGTATATGTAGTAAGATATGTTTTGGTAACAAATTGGTTATTCATGCTCTAGAATAAATTAATTTTATGAAATAAAAACTACAGTACGTAAAAAGAACATTGTTTGGAAACAAACTTGTTTGATGGGGTGGGGTAGCATCATAAGCATGTGATCAGTTAATGTGCTTGGAGCTAGTGTTATGGGTTTAGCTTGTGATGTAGGTAATACTCTTAGTACATTGGCTTGGCCGGGATAAGTACTTTTATCTCCAGCAACGATTACTTCGACACCATTACTCATTTTTTTTGTAGCAAAATTAAAACGCCTTTCGTCAAATGCCCTTTGTTCTTCAACTGTAATATGAAAAAATTAAGTATTAAATCAAATTCATCTTAAGGATTATTATAGAATAGCATCTTACCTTTGGCGTCAATATTATAGTCTTGTAGAATTTTTGATAAAGTAAAAGAAGAATTTTCCCTATCACCAACATTATTCATAATGCTTTGAGTTAAGTAATTTTTCGGTTTTTTTGGAAAATCAAACAGAAATACGTCCTTAGTGGATAGAAAGTTAGGCGTGTTTCTTTTTGTTCGATTTTTTGAACTCCAGATTTTAGATTTTACGACTTCCCGCTGAACTGGAGTATCAGCGGAGCCTTTCAATAAAAAATGACCGGTAGTTTCTTGATTTTGTTGAGAAGATGGTTCAACAAGTACTATGTTGACTTTTGTAGCACGGTTTTCTATTTTTACATTTTTACTTACATCACCTAATATACTTTCTAAGCTTTGAGTTTCTTCTTCGTTATATCTTTGGATTTGATCATCGTCAGTAGATGATAAAAGAATATCATCATATACAGTCGCCGTTAAATCTATTACTGATGAAGGCTCTACTTCACGTTTTCGAACGGTTGCCGTTTCATCATWACTTACTGTAGATAAAACAGTACTAAATTCTCCTGGTCTTTTACCGGATACATATAATGTCACAACACTTGCTTCCGCTGGTTGTATAGCAGGATCTGGTGGTTTTTTGGTAACAATTTTTTTTTTCGATGGTTTAGTTTCATCTTTTGAAGAGGAATCTTCATACTTTGGAGTTGGTTCAATTAATTCTTGAAGAAGTTCCTCTTGTGTAGAATCAATACTACCAATTAAAGTATTTGTTGTAGTGACTTGTCCTAGTAATTGAGCTTGAAGTAAAGCAGGTAATAGCAATGTATTTAGTTGATTATTAGTTTGTTGTACTGTAGGAGTAGTAACTATTGTTTCAGTAATATATTCAGTTGCCGTAATAACATTTGTAGAACTGTCAATCACTGTTGTTGATATGACTTTTCCCCTGAAAGTTATTGGCAATACAGTTGATGTAGAGTGAGTAACTGTAGTCACATAAGTTGTACTTTTCGTCTTGAACTCGGTTGTTGGTAACTGAGGTGTAGCCATAGCTGAATTTAAAGCTAATAATGGATTTACTGTGGGCTGAATTCCTAAGTTACCTAATAGTAGTTGTKACAGTAATAAATTGGCTAATGGAGCGTTAGCTAATTGTTGTGGCTGAATTGTATTTACTTCAGGTTTCACTTCATATATGGTGCTCGGAATTATATGAGAATAAGATGTTTTTCTTCCTCTTATATAAGTAGGAGTGAATGTTATACTACTTGTTGGTTGTTCATAAATGACAAACTTAGTTATTTCGGTCGCTCCATTTGGTAATGTTTCAGTGACTTCTCTAACAAGTTGAATTGTTGGATAACCATTTTTACCTGCTACAGTACTATATTGATGAGGTCCAAGTATTTCAATACTGGGCTTCGCCGTCAACACTTGTTTGTATTCCGTGTTTTTCCCAATAATTATAGGTATTGTTAATTCTGTTGGAATCTTATGTGTAACTGTGATTGACCCATCAAAAATAGTTTGAGTATTAGAAAACGTGTTTATATCTTCTCTGAATCTCGTTCGTGTATTTTGTCTGCGAGCCGAAGGAGTATAACGGCGGTTGTTTCGAATTGGCTCTGGTGTTGTAGTTGGGTATCTTAACCTAGATAATCTTTTAGAAGTAGTTGTTTCTTGTGGTACAGGTGGCCGTGTCCTTCTGAAATTCGATGACCTTGATGTAGTTGCCGGAGCCATTGTTGTTGGAGTCTTTTCACGTAAAGTGAATTGCGATCTTCCAACATTAGATGAAGATGTGGTGGGTGTTAACCTTTGTTGTTGTTGCTGTTGTTGTTKTCTAGATCTACTTGGTTGCCTTCTTGTGGGAGGAGGCGTTCTTACTGGTGCTGGAGTTTCTTGTTCAACATAATCATCTTCATAATAATAATCTACAGCCGTATTTTTAACTGGTTGTCTACTTCTATAACTTCTGCTATTATCATTTCTGTTTCCAAACTCTACTTGCCTTTTTGTTCGACTTCTTCTGCTATTAAAGGGCCTGATTTGAACTTGGTTATTATTAAAAGTTCGACTTCCTCTAGATGGTCGCTCAGTTTCTGATACTGCATTTGATTGTGTTTCAACTTGTGTAATAGCGCTATCTATATTATCAT